GGTTAGGGCCGGGCTACACTGGGGCTATCCTCTGGGGCTAGTCTGGGGCCCCTGCCAATACCAGAGCAGCACCATGGGGCCTTAAGGGGGTCAGGAAGCCACTTGAGATTTTGTCCGTTTTTCCACTTGCTGCATGTGAATCCCAGGGCCTCCCCTTCCCCCTCAGTGGCTCTGCGCCCTGCGGGGCCAGGTTCCCCGCCTCTCTTGGCCGGTCTCTGTGGACAGGGGAGGGTGGATGTGTCCCAAGGGGCAGAGCCACGTCCGTTCTCAGCCTGGCCCTCGGGGGGCCGAGGGATTTGCAGTGCCTGGCACCACGTGCACGTTGGCCTTGTCCCTCAGCTGCTCCCCTAGACCCAGCACTGCAAGTGGGAGCTGGGGAGGGCTTGTCTGTGACACCCTGCACACACCAGCAGGCTTGGTTCTTCCTAAGGCAGAGACCTGAATGCTCCTGCTCCTGCCCCTGCCCCCCTCTCCCTGCCATCCCGCTGGCTCCTCCAGCCAGGATCAGGGCAGGACAGAGTATTAATAAGTGAGGGGTTTTGGGGGGGGGGGAGCACAGAGCCCCAACCCCCACCCAGCGCTGTGCAGAGCGAAATGGTGGAAAAGGCAGATTAACCCCAAACGGGCAAAGCAGCCCCTAGTGCCACCGCCCGGCGAGAGGCCCGAGCAGGGCCCTGCCCTTGCCAACGCGCCCCTCCAGGGTGGGCCGAGCCCCCCTGGAGCACGGCTAAACGTTCCCCTCCCGCTCCTCGAGGCAGGGGCAGGGGGCGTGCTGGAGCCACACGAGACCCTGGGCCCAGTGGGGGCTTCCTCCTTCCCCTGGAAGAGGCGCGGGGAGGGTTAGCGGGAGGCGCAGACACGCAGCCCCTTCTGCACCATGGCAGGGCGGGACGGGGGCGCGTCGGGCTGCTGGAAGGGCTCCAGGCACCGTCCGGTTGGGACTTGTCTGACAACTGACTGGAGGCAGGCGCAGATGCCCCGGCAGAGGCAGAGCCGTGTGCTCGCGCCACACGCCACCCTTCCCCAGGCTGGGCAGAGTGGGACAAGCCCGGGCCCCCTGCAGCCGTCTGCCTCGTCTGTCTAAACAACAGCAGCTCCGTCCCCCCCTCCCGGTCAGTGCAGGCCTCCTAAAGCGGGACAGACGCCCCTGCCAACCTGGGAGGCGGCACCTCTTCTGCCAGCTCCCTTTGATCCAACTAGGAGCTGGTGCCTTGAGCGCCCCCGGCCATGCCCGCCGCAGCGGAAGCCAGGCCGTGCAGTCACCTCCTGGAGGGATCGGGGCTTGAACTCCCCTGGCAAGCGCTGCCAGGGCTGCCCCTGCAAGACTCCTGATGCTCTTTCCCGCTAATGCAGTGGGGGCCTGACCTCAGGCCGCTGGCCAAGGTGGCTGCTCGTTGTCCAGCTGGGCCGAGGGCCAGAGCTGCGCGGGAAGATCCAGATCCGCGGGGAGAGACTCGCTCTGCACAGGGGTTTCCAAGCTGGTCCCTGGAAGTGTCATCCCTGACCCCCTGGCTCCGCAGCGCTTTGCTGCGCCTCCCCACTGTCGCCTTTTGCTGATTTTGCTTCTCCAAGGGTGATTCGGTGCTGTGCGCGGGTCGGGGTCCTGCCCCGTAATGCTCCGCACAGCCAGGGCTCTCTGCAAGCCACCCTGCCTGGCTGGGGCATGGAGCAGGGGACGTGGCTCATTGAAATGCTACGAGGAGGGGCCTTCCGCTGAGCATCCCAAGGGAGGACCTGCCTGCATCTCACCTCACGGGTATGCTGGGGGTCCAGAGGACCCTGACCTTGGCTGCCCCCCTCAATGCTGCAGCACCATGTTCAGTCGGGGCCCTCAGCAGCGCTAGCGTGCTGTGCCTGCCAGTGGCCTCACACCCTGCCTGGTCCCCGAGCCCCACCCCCGAGTGCACTCAGTGGGTATAATCCCTGCTCCACAGAGGGAGAAACTGAGGCACAGGGAGGCAGTGCTCAATCGGCCACCGCTGAACCCCGGGAACAGAACCCAGTTATCCTGCTAACCGCCCCCGTCACTGCCCAGGAGGGGCCGACGTCTCAGTGACTCTGTGGATTCGGGCTGTCAAGGGGGTGGGAACGACGAGCCCTTTAAAACCATCCCCCTCGGCCTGCAGCCAGGGAGCAGGGCTCCTTGCCCCTCGTGCGACACAGCCCCTGCCGGGAGGGCTGCCCTGGGCTGGCCGAGTCCCCAGCTCTGACGCCCCAGCCCTCAGGCGAGGAGGCTTTGGGAGATAGAGGCGGGATGTGGGGGGCTCCTCCCATGTCCGGCCACCTCCCCTGATCCAGAGTCTCTTGCTGAGCTTGTTTATGAGCTAGTGCTCGACTTCGCCCCTTTCCCCTTCCCCGGGATGCCCAGGCGGCTGGTGGGGAGAGGACCCATGCCAGGGGCGCCCTGGGTCACCCACCTCCCCTGATCCAGAGTCTCTTGCTGAGCTTGTTTATGAGCTAGTGCTCGACTTCGCCCCTTTCCCCTTCCCCGGGATGCCCAGGCGGCTGGTGGGGAGAGGACCCATGCCAGGGGCGCCCTGGGTCACCGGTGCGCTGGGGCTGAGGCCTTTCCTCTCTGGGCCCTCGCATCTGCCAAGGGAACGGGCTGCCCAGCGCCCCCAGATCCTGAGCTGTGGCAATTCCTGCACTCGAGGGGGGAGGGCTGCGAGGAAACCTGGTCCCAGGAACCAGAGAACAGGCCAAGGAGTTAGTGCTGCCTGCAGGCCCCGGCCCACGTGGCTCCTTCCCCTCAGAGCATCCTTGGGCCTCTTTTCAGGCAACATTTGGCACAAAACACTCATCCAACCTCTGGCTGCTTTAACCAGGCCACTGACCCAGCCCTGAGGCCGCGCCGGGGGCAGTGGGAAGTGTCAGTACGGGAGGGATT